AATAAGAACAAACATACCCTTCACATTTCTTTTTGGTGGCAGCCAGAGCACCACAATAGATTTCAGGAAAGCTGCTTCTGCCAGGCTTCCTGTGGCGTTTGGCAGCCACAGCTCTCTAGCCTCAGTTTCTCCATTTATAAATGTTTCAGTCCTATACACATTGGCTGATTGTACTTCAAAGACATTTTTCAGACACTACTAGACTATAAACACTGAGGACAGGGAGGGCATGTCTTAATCATCTGTATGTTCACAGCAGGAGCTCAAAAATGTTTATTAGATGGGCAAATGCGTTTGGAAGAGAAGACTAACATAGCACACACAGTACAGTGGAAGTCAAGGGAGTTTTAGGGAGAGGTAGAGGACAAAAGATCATTGCATTTATAAATTACAGTTAACCCTCACTTAAAGTCATCGACAGGTTCTGCAACTTTTTAAAAAAAAACATTTTTATTGATTTCAGAGAGGAAGGGAGAGGGGTAGAGAGAGAGAAACATCAATGATGAGAGAGAATCATTGATGGGCTGCCTCCTGCACGCCCACTACTGGGGATGGAGCCCACAACCCGTGCATGTGCCCTTGACTGGAATCGAACCCAGGACCCTTCAGTCCACAGGCCGATGCTCTATCCACTGAGCCAAACTGGCTAGGGCAGGTTCTGCAACTTTAAGCGAAGCGACATATAACGAAACCAATTTTACCACAGGCTAATTGATATATTAATAAGAATTAAGTTCCTAGAGCAGCTCATCAACGTTATAACAAAATTGAATGAAGAGTTATTTCAAGACCTGCTGTACAAGGGCCTATGGCCTTTGAGAAGAATAATTTTAGCACAGGAAGGAAAGTGGGTTGAAAATTGAGGGCAGTGCGTATAGATGCCTCTCGACTAACACAGGCACAGGAGAGAGCTTTGATGGATGCTTTGTGAGGCTGTAGGAGACATGCCTGAAGGAGTTTGTGATCTGAGAGAGGGAACTGTGGGGAAGGAGAATAGTCCTTAAAAGTGAGGGGCATGTCTTGGCAGCAAGGGAGAGTACCCAGAGCACAGCTGGAGAAGGCCCTGTCTTCATGGGGGGAAAGGTCAGGGAAGAAGGGGTGAGGACACAGTAGACCTAGAAGGTTAGGGAGCACCCTGGGTGTTGACCCCAGAACAGAGGAGTAGGGGGTCTTCTTTCAGGATGAGAGGGGCTGGGGACTCCCAAAGAGAAGAGGGCAAGGGAGCCACTGCCGAGGGGACCTCCTACTGGGCTCACTTCTCACCTTCCCACTGGGGTCATGGCTGAGCCTCCCAGTCTCCTAAGCCACATGGGGACCCAGTGCACTTAGTGGTGGGGGGCTCGCCAGAGTCATACAGGGCATCAGCGCACCTCCTGACTCCCTGCCCCGGCTTTGCCTCTGTCCCCACAACAGGTTCCCCTTCTACTTTGAGCTCAAGATCGCCTTTGTGATATGGCTGCTGTCCCCTTATACCAAGGGCTCCAGCGTGCTCTACCGCAAGTTCGTGCACCCGACACTGTCCAACAAGGAGAAGGTTTGCTCCCACTCTGCTTCCCCGCCCACCCCAGGCCAAGGCGGCCCTGTGCCTGCAGCCACATACATTCCTGGCCCTCCCAGGGCCTGAAGTGACCTGGCAGGGCCCTGGCCTTCTGCAGCAGGCAGTGCCTTGCCCAGGTGTGAACGAGAGCAGGGCCTGGCCAAGGGGGCCAGCCCTCACCTCTTCCTTGCTCCCCTCTGACCCCTCAAGGAGATCGACGAGTACATCACTCAGGCCCGAGACAAGAGCTATGAGACCATGATGAGAGTGGGCAAGAGGGGCCTGAACCTGGCCGCCAATGCTGCGGTCACAGCTGCTGCCAAGGTGAGATGGGGGCAGACCCAAGCTCCTGGGGCCCCACCTGTTCATCTGGTCGCCCTGGTTAGGTCCTGCCTCCACGCTGTCCTCAGCGCTGGGAAGGTTCGGGGCTTGTGCAGCTGGGGTGCCAGTCCTAGGTCTCCCACCCTCCAGCCAAGTGACTTCCACTCCCCGAGCCAGTTCCCTCCTCTGTCCAAAGGGAAAGGGTGGCCCCAGCCTGTCAGTGCCACCTGAGGCCTGGCTGGGGACAGCGTGGGGAAGGCACCGAGCCCAGTGGCTTCCCAGTGCCCCTTGGTGACCACTCTCTCCACCCCGCCCCTTCCTCCGGTTCTCCCGGTGCGTGGTGGCGACCCTAGGGCCAGGGGGTGCTGTCCGAGAAGCTCCGAAGCTTCAGCATGCAGGACCTGACCCTGATCCGGGACGAGGACTCCCTGCCCCTGCACGGGCCTGACGGCCACCTCCGACCCGGCCCCGGCAGCCTCCTGGACACCATTGAGGACCTAGGTACGGGCTGGACAGCCGGGCACGAGGGCACGGAGGTGACCCGGTGGGAGGGACACCGGGACCCTGTTCTCCTTTTCTCCCCACCAGGAGATGACCCTGCCCTGAGCTTAAGGTCTAGCACGAACCAGGCAGATTCCCGGACAGAAACCTCTGAGGATGATGTGGGAGACAAGGCCCCTAAGAGGCTCAAACCCATCAAAAAAGTGCCCAAAACTGAGGTGAGAGCCCAGAAGTGGGGGAGACGGGGAGGGGTTGTGTCTCCAGGCTGAGCGTTCTCTGTCTTCCTCCCTCCTTCCCACAGCCACTGGCTTCCAAGACGGTGAAGACCCGGCCCAAGAAGAAGACCTCTGGCGGGGGTGACTCGGCTTGAGGTCTCGACCCCTCAGGCCACAGAGCCCTGCTCCACACTGTGCCCGTAGCCCCTGTGTCTCAGGCCCAGGGCCCCTCAGACGGCTGTTTCTGGTGCCTGCCCAGAGGCCACTTGTTTGGAAGGGCTTGGAAAAGAGGAGGGAGGTCCTGTTGGGGGGGTGGGGTTTGAAGGTAGAGGCTGGGCCTGGAGCTGAGGGCTGAGCCACCCACGGAGGTGGGGGCTCCTCAGAACCTGAACTGCCATTGTCCCCACTCCAGCTCTGTGTGCCCACCCAGTGCCTTGCTGAAAGCCATGGCCATCAGCTTCTCTGCGGTCCTACTGTGCACCTACTGCTCTCCCTGGGTCGGGGACAGTCATAGCCCCCATGGACCAGAGCCGGGCCTGCAGGCACCTGGGGAGGGCGGGAGTGGGAAGCCTCGGGGAAGCAGGGGCTCCAGGCCATGGCCCGGAAGGGAGGACAGGGCCTTAGTGTGTGCTTAAGTGACCCGACGGCCAGGCCGGAGCTGGAGCTGGGGCATTGGATGAACTGTGTGCTACGTGTCCCCACTAAACAGAGGTGGGGCCCCAGGGGTGTGCGTATGAGCGTGTGTGTGTTTGTGGGTCTAGGGCTGTGGGTATTTGGGGTAAAGGACTTTCCCTCCAGCAGTGACCTCCTCCCGCCCTCAGCCCTCCTTCCTAGTCTCTGAGCCTCAGAGGACTACAGCCCATGCGGTAATGGGGCTGCCAGGAGCCGCTCACCTCCTTCTCTGCCCTCAGTTCTTTTTTGCCTCTTCCTTTCCTGCCCCTGGACTGGCTCCTCTACGCCTCAGGGCCCACAGTAGAGGCCCCTGGGAGCCAGCTCCTTTGCTCCACACCCAGAGGCCCATCCTCCTTTCTCCCAGGGTCCTCTCCTGTGCCCAGCAGACTAGGCCCCATGTGAGCAGACCCTGTCAGAGCCCAGCCTGTGCTCCACACCCTGCCCCAGCTTCTGCCGCCATCTCAGTCAGAGCCAGGAGGAATGTGCGAAGAAGAAAAAGAAATTCAGGAGCCAAGGGTCTCCCAGTTTGGTGGAGAGCGGGTGCGCATTGGACCTCTGGCACTGGATGAGCCAATAAACCAAACTCTGGCACTTGACTAATTTCAGCCTCTGTGCTTGTTCTCGCCCCACCCAGTCCCGGGGGAAGGACCTGAAGTGAGACTCAGGACCCAGCTGTGGGAGGGAGTGGGAAGAGACCAGAATGTGAGCATCAGGAGTTCGGGGAAATGGTTTTGGGTTCAAGATAGAGTCAGGGGAGCAAGAGGGGTCAGGACTTAAGAAGAGTTAGGGGCCTCAACCCTCTAGGGCCTCCTGCCCTGAGACCCCTCCCCACATGGACTTTCTGGTACCTCATGAGAAGTGCCAGGTGTAAACTCTGGGGACAAAGACCCCAATGAGGCCTCCCAGGCAGGACGGGAGGGTTGGATGGCCGCAGTGCCTACAAAGGCTAAGAAATGTTGGAGGGGGGCTGAGACTGAAAGGAGGAGACAGGTGGGTGGAAGAAAGAGGTGGAGATAGGAACCAGTCCCAAGGCCCATGCCTGACCCTGGGAACAGACAAGGAGACGGGTACCCAAGGACTGGAGCCAAAGAAGCCGCCCATGTGGCCCCAGAAGCGAGGGATGGAGCCCTGAGCTGCTGGGCTAGGTGGGAGGACAGGGGAGACGGCGGGACATGGGGTCTGAGCCCTTGGGAAGAAGATCCAGGGGCCAAGGGACACAACTGGCCGAGATGAAACCCTGGAAGGCAGGACTCAAGAGAACAGAAAAGATGGCAGAGGAGTAGAAGCAGCATCAGAAGATAAAGGAAAAGCATGGAGAGGGAAGGATGAGGGAGGGAGAAAGGAGCAGAGAAAGAACGGCTCAGCCTCATGGAAGGAAAATGGAGGAAGCAGAGCATGGTCTGGGGTAGGGAGTGTGGGGACCTAGCCCCAGCCTCTGGCTCCAAGACTGGCAAGATGCCCCTACACCAGGCTTTTCTCTTCCTCCCTGGCACCATAGGGTATGACCTCCAGCCGCACTTGAGCCACGCTGGCCACGAAGGGCCAGACGGAGGCTGCCGGGGAGGGGAGGTGTGAGACGCCTTTTCCAGTCCACAGCCGTCTCAAGGTCACTCCTTTCACCACTGGCATCTGAGCAAATGGGCCCCTTTCCATATCAGAAGGGAGAGGAAGTGTTAGGGCAGAATTCAGGGGAGAGACTCCCTTGTTCTAGAAAGATCTCCAGAGAGCAAGATGTTAAAGTCTCATGTTAGCAGCTACCATAAGGCCAGGAAACCTGGCTAGGCCCCCTCTAACCTAAATCCTATTTGCTGCATTACACACACACACACACACGCACACACGCACACACACACGCACGTACACACACACACACGCACACACACACGCGCGCACACACACACGCACGCACGGGCACGGGCACACGCACACACACACACACACGGACACACACTTGCATCCACAGTGACCGGTAGCTAAGGACGTCACTGCCAGACTCAGCATCACCAGGCTCTCCATGCACATCTGGGTTTCCCTGTGTCAACAGAAACATGCTCAGATGTCTAAGCTCATTGGTCCGTTGCCATGGAGACAATCATTCTCCTAGAACTTGGCACAAGGCCTGGCCACTGTAGTGCAGGGGAGGAGAAGAGAGATGGAGGGTGACAAAAAAGGAGTGGGAAGTCTCCTGGCAGCAGGTTGGTGAGCCCTTGCTACCTCATTCCCTGGGACCACCTGCCCTCTCCCCTCGTAGGTCCCTCTAGGCCAGGAGAGTGGGACAGAGAAGTCACACCGAGGTGTGTGGCTAGAGCTCTGTGGAGGGTGCCAGTCACGGCCTGGGTCCCCAGTGGGCGTTGAGGGATCATTAGTTTTGAAGGGGGGGCTGAGGTCTAGCCGTGTGTCCCGCAGCCACACCACCTTGGGGACACTGGGCACCCCTCTAAGCCTCAGGTTTCTAGCTAGAATGGCCACAGGCTTGGAGCCTCTTCAGCCGGCTCCCCCTCCCTTTCCTCTGTGAGCCCCACCTGGAGAAGCTGCTTAAAATGGGATTTCCAGGCCGTGACGTCAGAGGAAAGCCAGCAGCTCCAGCCTGTGCCAGCTCTTCTTCAGCAGCAGAGCTGAGCCCAGCCTTGCTCAGCCTGGATGAAAGAGGGGAAGGCAGAGGAGGCAGAGGAGGCAGGGGCTCTGGGCCATGGTGCCCATTACTGTGGCATCCAGGATACCATGGAGTTTCCAGGCCAAAATTCACTGCTGGCTCCTCCACTGCCTTACATTTCAACCAGTACATGACCATCTTCCTCCTAAATTCTCGTTTTTTCCTCTCTGAGCTGCATCAGGCCCGCCTGGAGGAAGAGGGCAACCTTGAGTCAGAGCCATTTGGGTTTTGCCTGAGAGTTTGTCCTATATCTAGGCTGGAGGCTGCGATGCTCGGCAGGGATGCCTGCAAGAAGGAAAAAGCCCACTAGGTGGCGCAGCTCCCACCCAATATGGGTTTCCCTGGCCCCTGCTGGGGACAATCTTCCCTGCAGCCCGTCTGCTTAAAATATGGTGAGCAGGGTGCCTCATGCCTCACTCCCTGGTGTTGGAGGTTCATGAATAAAGCATTCTTGCCGGTAGACAGGTCAGCTATGGATTCTCAAGCAATCGCTTCATAAGCTCAGCCTCGCTTCATAAGCTCAGCCTGTGTGCACACCTGGTCCTACTCCAGGAGGTCAGACTAGAGAGCAGGTGTTCCCTCTGGGTGAGAATCAGGCAGCTCCAGAGAGCAGGGAAATGGCAAGACTGACCCTGGAAGGGCCCTGCAGCACAAGGGACCCAACCTGGGCTGCTGGAGCTGATTCAGGGTCAGGTGGGGAGAGGGACCCAAGCAGTGGCAAGGGTTAGGGAACCTGGGAGGGGCAGCTTGGGCCCAGAGGAAAGGAAGCTCATCTAGCCGCAGGATCCCATGGATGTGAGCTCCCTGATGGCCACAGTGGCGGTCCCAGGCCTGCCCCAGGTTTCCCCATCCGCTGTCCCTTCTTTTATTTTATTTTTTTAAAAATATTTTATTATTATTATTGATTTCAGAGAGGAAGAGAGAGGGAGAGAGAGATAGAAACATCAATGATGAGAGAGATCAGCTGCCTCCTGCACACCCCACTGGGGATCAAGCCTGCAACCTGGGCACGTGCCCTGACCGGGAAGCGAACCATGATCTCCTGATTCATAGGTCGAGGCTCAACCACTGAGCCACGTTGGCCAGGCCCCCTTCATTTATGTTCATCGGGGGTGTCATGGGTTAAAAAAAGGAGACAAAGCCTGACCGGTTTGGCTCAGTGGATAGAGCGTCGGCCTGCGGACTGAAGGGTCCCAGATTCGATTCCGGTCAAGGGTATGTACCTTGGTTGCGGTCACATCCCCAGTGGGGAGTGTGCAGGAGGCAGCTGATCGATGTTTCTCTCTCATCTATGTTTCTAACTCTCTATCCCTCTCCCTTCCTCTCTGTAAAAAATCAATAAAATAAAAAATTAAAAAAAAGGAGACAAAGACCTTAACTCCAAATCCTTGAATCCCCAAGGTATTTTTGCAGGAGCCCCGGCTGAGGATCCTCCGTGATCTACCTTTCCCTGACCTCTTTCCCAAACTGACCCCACCAGCCCTGCACCCCTAATGAATTACCCTCTCCTTTTGTCCCAGCCAGATGAGTGATCAATAAATAATGCTGCCTGAAATATTGATGGCGAGTTTTACACCAGGATCCCTTAGCTGTGCCCGTCACTGGGGAACTGGAGAGCTGACAGAGAGATGTATGGCCCGCAGAGAGCTCTTCCCTGTCTCTGCCAACAGAAGGACTTTCTTTGCCAAGATTTCAACCTGCTCCCATCTCAGCCAGAATCATGATTCACTCTTATCAAGTAAGAAGAGGAAAGATCCCCAGACACTGACTCAGCTAGCCCCCAGGAAGGATGGGGTAAGCTAAACCAAGCAGAGACCCTTCTTGAAACCCGTGGCTCCTGTGATGCGATTGAGATCCCATTTCCTCTGTTCTATGTCCATCTTGGACCTGCCAGGTCCAGCTTTCTGAGTCGAAAGGAGACCTGTAACTTCCCCGCCCCCACCTAGACTAGTCAGAGCCAGAGCAGAAGGGACCAAGCGAGCGCTCCCAGACTTCTCTGGCCTAGGTCCCTCTCATCTGGTTTTGTTTTCCCTGGAGGGAGGGAAGGAGAGAGGAGGAGGAGGTGGTAGACGCTTTTGAGCCCTCCTGAGCCCAACTCACCCAGCGCCAGCGCCCTTTGCAGAAGCCTGGCCCTCTCACATCTTTGCACGTGCAGTGCCTTCTGCCCAAGCACTCTTGTTCTCCTGTTTCAACTTGACCAACTCCTGCGTGCACCTCAAGCCTCAGCTTAGATGGGACTCCCCGACCCCATCCCTCCGGGCCCCTGTAGCATCTGCTCTTCCTCCCCGACAGCGCACATCACCCTATCTGTTTCCCCACCACACTGAAAGCCATGTAGCAGGCGATGGGTCTACCTGGTTTCCCACTATTTCCCGGCATCTAGTAGGGGCCTAGCACACAGTCAGCACTCGGCACATTTGTGTGGAATGTTTGAGTGGCGTCCCTGCAGCACTCCTGGGAAAACACCGGCCTTCAAACCTCAGCATCCCTGTGCTGAGTTGTCAGCCTGCACCTGAGGATGCTGCCCAGATCAGCCCCTCCCTCTGGTTGCCCTGTTGTGCTCAGGCTCGCTTGCTCTCCTTTTCTCTCTCTCACACACACAGATGGGAGTCAGCTTTCCAGCCGCAGTCAGTTCTCACTTCAATTCAAAAGCTAAATTGGGAGGAAGAGCAGCTTCACACTCCCAATTTAGCCTGGGAGAGAAAAGCGGAGACAGCCTGGATGTTGCCAGGGAAAGGAGAAAGTTGGGTTTGGGGCAGGGAGAGATGGCAAACATATCCAAGAGAAGACTAGAAACCCCCACCACCCACCTCCTAAGAATAAACCGTACAGAACCATGACCCCAGGATGACCCCTATAAAGCTTCTTTCCTACTTCAGTGCAGCCATGCCAGGCACTATCCCTGGACGGGAGAATGGGGTGGGATAGCGGAGGCAAAAGAAACTTG